CAGTTTTCCCAGGCCCTTTTACTCCCCAACGCCAGCGGGAACCTTATACTTTTTTTCGTTTATTATTGCTGTGGCTCTGTCTGGTCAGTAGTAATTAAACAGTATATTCAGCTTGATTGTAAGAGGGTAGCAATTGATCAGCATTATCGTGGTGAGCATCGCGTGTTCCGTGAGCCCCTTTCCATGTCAGCATCAGGTGCTACTACTCTTGGAACCCAATATCCTGACCTTGTTAGGTATGAGCTAAACGAGCCAAAGTCATGAGGATGACGACGTATCTTTTCAATGTCATACAGGCACTATTAAAGGCGCCCTTTCTCAAATGACTTTTTGTTGTTGTTTTGTTTTCGAGACAAGGTTTCTCTATGTAACAGTCCTAGCTGTCCTAGAACTCATTCTATAGATCTCAGAGATCCACCTGCCTGCTTCTGCAGTGCAGGGATTAAAGGCGTGTGCTACCACTGCCCAACTCAAATGATTTATTTTTATAAAAGGATTTACTATTATTTGATCTGCTGTCCATCCACTATTGTATCAATTCTAAATTCAGGGACTTGTTTGTTTTAAATAAAGAATCGTGTGACTTGGATCTAGTAGTAAAAGAATGCCCTCGTGACTAGCTTTCCATCCCGGAACTGTGCTTTATGTGGACTTAGATGTTAAATCAAAATACTTGCAAGGAACCTGTGTTGGGAAAGGCTCTGCCATGTGGGCTGCCAGGGCCAGTCCTAACGTACATGCTGTGTTCCACAGAGTGCCCTGGACCCCTGTCTGTGCTTTCAGCTGCTTCTGCCTCTGCCCCAGCAACAGCTGCTTTGGATTTTCTGGCAGTACTTGTTGCCACCAGCTGCCACTCCTTCTATTCCCATAGAAAATGAGGCCTGGGAGCAGGAAAAACAGACCAGACAAGAAATCAAAATGGCATCCCTCATGCCAATGTACCACCTTACCAAATATAACTTTGTTATCCTACCTTCCCAGAACCCAAGAGAGACATGCAATAGCCAGCTCTCCTAGACAGGCTGGTTTCTGAATTTATCCTCACATGAAAACGTGACCTGAAGTAGTATAATAGTAAGCAGACATTTTTCCATCCTTACAAGGAAGTAACTGAAAGGCCCAGTGCTTTTGTCTTTTCTGTTTCTGCTTTTTTTTTTTTTTTTGGCCCTTTTTGGTCTGCAAAGCCAGTCTTTCTACTAGGCTTCGTGAAACACTGACTTTAAGACACAGAATGAAGTGTTGCTTGACTCTAGAATTAAACTCCAGCCAGACAAGGAGCACAGCTCAGTGGGAGAGCGCTCGCCTTTGATCTGTGAGGAGCACAGAGAGGGAAAGGGAAGATTAAAACAATGAAGACCCTAAAACTAAACCAGTGTGATTTTTGCCTATTGACACTAGAATAACAAGGGCAAGGAATCTCATGAATGAGATTAAGGAAATTTGCAGTATAGAGAGTGCACTGGTGGCTGGCAAGAGACCACTATGCAATATTTAAACCCTGTTCAGGCTGTCCCTAGGAAGAAGTAGCTGGAATACTTAGCAGATTCAGATGAAGGGAAGCAAGTGGTTTCTTTGCCATGGGAGGGGAGCAGGATTTTTTAAAATCTGCTTGTATAGTTTGATATATTTGCCTATAGTCCAATGATATGAAGTCATGAGCTATAGGAAGGAAGCTATGTAAGTTTAAATTTAAATTAACTAAAATAAAATAAAACTCAAATCTTGAATCCCACCAACCACATTCCAAGCCCATGATATCCATGCATGGCCAGTGCTTGCTGTCACGGGGAACACGGGTTCTGATCAGATTCAGCTCAGAAGTTCTGTAGGAGAGTACCAGCTTAAGACAGCAGACAGAGGACAAAGGGAAGGGCAAAAATCTTTTTAAAATCACGAATTTTAAGCAGCAATGCTGCCCTGTGAGCCAATGTAAGGTGAAAGGGCGGAAAGTCTGCAAGAGTCTTTAATCTGGATGAGGGGGACTAGAATTCTTCTCTCCGTGGTTGAGATGGGGAATTTCATCTTTTATGACTAATTAAGAGTCATATCTATAAAAAGATAAAAAGAAAGAACTGAAAAAAAAAAGACTCTAGAAGAGTGACTAATTGTAAAAAGGTATGGGGATGACGTGACCTAGAGGGTAAGGGTACTTGCTGCTGAGCCTGACAACCTGCGTTTGACCCCAGACCTCCACAGATTCCAAGGAGAGAACCAAGCCCATCATGTCATCCCTTGACTTCACACACACACACACACACACACACACACACACACACACACACAAACTAATAACAGTTAAAACATTTTAAAGGCAGAACATGCGCCTTGGGGGCAAAAGACAACAGCTCCTTCACCAGGACGTTTAGGTAATGGAACTCACACAAGAGTTTTGGGGCTTTATCTTGAAGTGCTTTAATTCTCTCAGCTGCCACCACACCTTTAGTTAATGTCACTTTGAAACACACAGCTCTCATGTGTTTCTGGGATTGCGCGTCAGAAAGGGTTTTAGGAGCATAACAATTTTGAGTAGCAGAAGAAGGAAACTGAGACTGAAAACAACGCCAGGGGTGGGGAGAGGGCAGGGGAGGCATTATTAAGAAAGTGTGAGCATAGAATGCTGGGAAACACAGACAACACAGAAGCCCAGGGAGAGGAGTCCGAGGAAGCCAGGGAGGCATCTACAAAGAAAATATAATGCTTAAATGCAATGTATACATTGACAAGTATTTTTAAAAACTGAGTTTTTAGCGTTTTCCCCATGTTGAAGCTGATTTATTATTGCATCTCGAATAGAAAACAAGTATGTTCCTTCACAAGACAGCTCCTTATGTTATGACTCTTCTAGATGCTTGGCTTTCCTCCTCTCTAGTTCCCCTCCATCCCACTGGCAGTCAATGTCACATCTCAGGATTGTTTACCCACGAACCAGAGAAACAACCTTTTTCTGACTGTATTTTTACAAGTGAACATTTTAATGGCTAGGACTCAAAAAAAAAATGCATCTTATGGAACTGGGAAGTGATAAAAAAATTTGGCTGCAACCCAGCTTGAAACATTATTTGGCTTTCTGGTTTGATGTGTTACTAGGAAAAAAACAGCATTTTTATTCCATAAAATTAAAACTCTTTGTTTCATCTTTCACTGTAGCACCTCACGAAACCACGCTCTGAAAGGTAAGCATAGCTAGACTGAGCTTAATATTTGTTGGGCCCTCTTCCCTGCAGGTTCACTTCCCCCTCATATTTAGGGAAAGCTGGGGAAATGCACATGCTTAGAGAAGCATAAGAAACAGGGATTTCGTAAATATGAGTTGCTATGATTCAAAACCAAAGGGAGTCATCACAAGAAACAAAAGAGCACAAGTCCTGTAGCACGTTGTTCCTCAAGCAAGTGCCATTTCTCTTGTACACATCTGCTTACCTGGCACCAAGAAAGATCAAGAGCTGCCAGTGATCACATTCAGTCTCTTCCAGGGGACCCTCTGGCTTATGAGAAAACAAGCCGTGTTTTTAAATTATCTTACAGATTTCCTAAGGCTGGAAAAGTGCCTCAGAAATCTGAAAATCATTTGGGTCACTTTAACAGTAAAGACGTGATGTCTCACACTAGCCCACACCACAGAGCCACTGAAGGGTTGGAATATGCTACCCTAAAATACAGCCCCTGGCCACTCAAGAGTGGTAGACTTAGGAAGGTCATCTCATCTTGCAACTTCTGCTTTCCCCACTTTGCCAGAAGCAGGCCATACAAATGTATCCGAGAAGACATAAAACAGGTCAAAAGATCCTCATTCCAGAGGGGTCCTCCCTAGCTCGGTGAAAGGAACATCCCACTCTAGGAAGATGGACACAAAAGAATCTGAACCGTGTTGCTTGCTGACTCTTTCAGTTTACCGTCATTGCAGAGATCACACACCGCCCCCAATTGAATTCTTAAGAAAACTTCCAGGCAAATCAGCCATTGATTCTGGTCACCGGATGCTGCTTTATCTTAGAGTGGAAGGCCTTTACTCCGTCTGTGGTAAAGCTACAGACATATGAATACTATCATTTCAATAGCTGAACTCAAAGGAAGAAACACTGACCACATTTTGGCTCAACATCTGTGCTTTCAATTTTGTTTTCTGAAAATGTGACCCTTATAATAATCTACATGGTGGAAAGAACAAGTCACATCAGCCAGGACTACCGAGTCCCTGGGGCAAAGGCACTTCGGCGTCTGACATTCTGAACTTCAGGGGACTGGGCATCCGCTACCACATTTCCGTGATTTGAAAGGAATCAAATCTAAGTAAATTAGTTTTACCTTTTCCTCTGCCTTAGAGAAAACACAACTTTCATCATACACCCTTCGACAGGTCATCTCAAATTCCAGCATTTAAGGTAAGGCTTCAGCTCACCTTCCTAGCTGTGCTAGCGCATTGGTGGCCTCAATGCCTGGCTGTATAGAGAGCCTGGCGCCACTGATATTTTACAAAGGCACCAACAATAAACCATAGCAGCAGAAGATGCAAGGCTCTGGTCATAATGGTCCGTACAAATGAAACAAGCAAACAAACAACTAGCGGCAAGACCCACTCACTGCTACATTTATAACGAATGGAAAGGTTTACGAGAAAAGCTTGCCAAAAACACTCCATTAAACCAAACCGTTACAGCATGAACACTATCTGTAAAGCCACAACGGTAGCAACTACCTTATAAGGAGCTTGTTGGTGAAATTAAATCACACACATGGAGTACTGAGAAGGCGGCTTGGCACAGGGAAGTCCCTCAATCAATGACACCCATCCCTGCTATTATTTTATCGGGTCCATGGTGACCATTCTACAAGTTGCTGACAGCATATCATTATTCAACCCCATAACTTACCTTCCCTTCATTGTAATTTGCAAACCTCAAAGATGTTACTTATATGATAGACTGTTCAGTACTATGATTAAAAGTGGATAATTATTAGACTATTTGAGAAGCGGGTGAAAAATAACAGCACTTTGTTACCTCTTCGTATCGGTCAAAAACTGCCCCTTCTTGCAAGAAGGACGGCACTTCCTTCTGCCAGTTAAATTCATAAGGTTTGGCCATGCTGGTATTCAAGACCTGAGGAAGAACAAAAGTCTCATTAGTGTATAATATTAAAGCGCAAGGGCTTGTCAAAGCTCAGACATTTTGACTTTATTTTCTTTAAATGTGTGGTAAAGGTCCACATGTTATCTTCCTCCAGATGCCCTCCTATTATCTGATCCTAATGTTCCTCCTCCTTGTCTCTAAATGTGAAGAAACACTTTACGTCCTGTGAAATCTGCATAGAGAAATGGTCCTATGGATCACCTCAGAAATCATACACAGGAAGCCACTGTCAGCATGATATACTTTTTTTTTTTTTAAAAAAAATAGCAGTATAGTGAAGGTGGGGTGTAACTCAGTAGACTTGTGTGCTTAACCTGTGTTAGGCCCTGGGTTCAACCCCTATAAACACAAAGAGACAAATGAACTTTTTAAGGAAAAGTAATGGAGAGGCAGAAACAGCGGCCCACACTTAGAATTCCAACTACTTGAACAGCTGAGTCAGGAGTTTAAGGCCATCCAGGGCAACCAAGAAAGACCTTTCCTATGGAGAAAAGGGAAGAAAAGGAGGGGGGCTGGAAGAAACTCAAAAGGATACAACATAGAACAAGTAGCTTGGGGGACTGGCCAGAATGTACAGAAAGAAGCAAGGGATTCCCTGTAGAGTTTCCATGTGCTCTAGGACATTCTAACTCGGGCCAACTACCCTTTGCAAGTTTACCTTTGTTTTTACTGGGTTATCTCTGATCCTCCCAGGGTCGACACAAGAACCCAGACATAAGCACCCAGAAAGGGGTGGAGTCTCTGCCTTCTCTACTCTTCTCAGTGTTGCGATGTTTACCTCCCACTGAAGTTCTCATTTTATCCATATGGCCTCATTACATGAAGGCCTCTAGGGACAGGGGTAGCTGAGGGAACACGGGACCAGAGGATGCTGGCTTCTGGCTCAGCTTTCAAGGGAGAACAACAGCCATACTGGTGGACGCCATTTCTGGTTTAATTTTTGCAGAGGTCTAGGGATCAGACCAAGGAAAGAGGTATTTGGGGAAAATGGCAGTAAAGTACCCCAGATTTGCTTGATTTTAAACTGTGGGGGATACCATTCTCTGAAATACTTCTTAGGGTTTGATAATAGGAGCAACAGCCAGTTTATTTTACACAGATGAGACAATAAAAACAATGACCTCGCACTAGAAGGTGTTGACCCAGGCAATTGATGTTTAAAATAAGAAGCAAACCAAGGTATGTCTAACAATCTAACGGGCTACAGAAAAATCCCAAACGAGAAATAGCTACCTTTTGAAGAGATGGGGAAGGGACTATCCATTCCTCCCCTTTTGCAACCACCTCAAATCCCCCAGCTAAACGGTTCCAGTTTGTGGCAAAAGTTCTTCCATGCAAACTCTCAGCTTGGCTTGGAAGTCCTCCAAGAACCAGAAGGTTTAACTACCTCCTCATCCTCCATCCTGCTAGAAAGACATTACCTCATTGCACAGGCCCCAAAGGAAAGGAAGCACCTGAGGAGGGTGGGGCTTTCAAGGGAATGACCATCACAGAGCTGACACAATGAGGCACCCTTTCTGGTGTAAACAGTGAGGCAGCTCCTGGAAGGAAGCCAGTGGGCTTTGCATGGGCCCATTGTCTGCGTTCTTACACAACTGAACAGATTATTTTACACAGGCAACTGAGGACAATCTCCCAAGACTGCAGAGAGCTAAGACGGAACAGGCTAGGAGGGGAGTCCGAGATGGTATGGCAGAAAACTCCTTCTAGAGAACAGAACGAGAAACTGACAGCTCATACAAGAGCACAGAGGACCCAAGAGAGATTGCTCAGAGGCCAGACTCAAGGGCATGCACAGCAGCCGTGACGATGGCCTGACATCATATAGCACAGCTCTGTAAACTGAGGAAGACAGTTGCTTGTTTGTTTGTCTTACTCTGTCCAGCATCTTTTCTTAAACCTGCTGGATTGCTAAGCTTACAATGTGATTTTAAAATGTGTCCCTTGGACATAACGTCATCTTCAAGGCTCGCCAGACTGCCGTCACCTAATGTTCTCTGGAAAAATCCATAGCTATGTTGAAGATTCTGCAGACTGACAGACTGATCAGGACTTCCTAAGGATGGTGTCAGCATGCTGCAGGTGCAAAGCCATGTTGATGTTGATGGCCAATTGTCATCCAACTCTTGATCTGACCTAACATCCTCTGACTATTAGAGCTACTGTCTGCAGACTATTGGCTTTCACCAGCTCTAAAGCTGAGAATGCAATCAGAAAGCATCTGAACCCTTTAACACTATTTTTCTTACTTTGCTGTAACCTACCCAGCTGCGGCCTCCACCAATGTATTTCGTAAATACATTGATTTATGATTGTCTTTTGTTCTGTGTCCACTGGAGTTCATACAACCACTTTGAGGGTCGGGGATGCCATTCATGGCAAATAGAGTCCACATTTCTAGGGAAAGGCTGAAGTCACTTATATTTATCTGAGGATAAACCACTCTTCATTCTTTATGGAGTGCATACTGCCTTTGGCATTGATACTGCTACCTCAAGTGTGGCAGGATTAACTACAAAACACTGCTCTCTCACTCCAGAGTCCTAGGGTAGTTCTGACCAAAACTTTGGCAAATATATTTGTTATTGGGCACACGACTCAGTTTTAGGTATAGGATGGACAAAGGACAGGATATAAAATCAGGTTTATTCCAGGTACCTGGCTGGCACAGTGGGCTCCCTAACGACTCCCTCCCCCCCCAAGCACGCTCACATATTAAGTGCTATGAACGTTACCTTACATGGTAAAAAGCATCTTGAGATGGGAAGCTAGTTCTGTATCATTCTTGTGAGGTCTATATCAAAAGAGCCATTATAAGAGGAACATTAGGCAAAGACAAAAAAAGAAACCATGTGACCAAGAAAGCAGAGACTAGAGCAATGTACACACGAGTCAATGAGTGTTGGAGGACACCAGAAGGTGAAAGAGGCCAGGAATGGATTCTCCCTACAGCCTGGGGAAAAGTGGCCCTGAGGACACCTTTACTTCAAACTTCTGTAGGAGAAAAATTTCTGCTGCTTTCAGCTACCCATCTTTAGCGACTCTTTACAGTGGTCTAGAAACACATGCCCTGGCTTCCGGAAGCTGCACAGGGTTTCCAATAGGTCTATCAACTTTTGACAGGACTGGGGATGCAGCGAATGATGAGCACAGGCAACACCTCTGTTGATGTTACTTGGAGTGTTTCTAGGGTCCATGGTATCGCAACAGCTTGGTATCGAAACAATAAATAGAAATTTGAAATGAGCCCCATGACTTCCCCCAAGCCAGCCAAAACCGTTGTTGTTTTGTGTCTTCTCTTTGTGAACAAAACAGTAGTACGCGGTGCTTTGACTCGTCAACATCCAGTTTTCAATGGACAACAATACTGCAAGGTCCCAAAGAAACTGGGGTGTCTATTAGCAAACCCAACTGCATGCTGGATGCCAGACTCACTCAGTACACAAGGCAATTAATTCTCTGCTCTCCTCAACATTTCTACAACCCATGTCCCCTACCTTAAACCCCTCCATTCCAGAGGCTTCGCTTCCCTTCTCCCAGCTTCACTTTCCTATAATAACCCTGCCAATTTGATGATGTGCTCTCTTGGTTTTCTCCCTCCTGGTCGTCTCTTTCCTTCCTGTCCACCCCACCTCCCAGCACCCACTATCCTCTCTCATTGCCCCATTCCAGATATCTCTGGTTGTGGCCTTCCTCATAGTTGCAATAAAAACCTTCTCCTCAAACATATCTTGGAGCAGTCATGTCCATTTTCATTCAAATACACCATGCGGCACATAGGAATTTTACTAACTGCAACAATTATCTTTCAACTTTAACCTTGTGATGAAGACATTCCATGGGAATTAACAACCCTATCCCCATTTTAGCCATACAAAGTGAAGCAGACCCAAATAACCACTAAAATCCATGGTAAAAATACCTAAGATTATTTTTCAGAGATGAGAAGTTGACACAGAATTTCCACTGACCAAAAATGAGTTGACTGCTTGAATCTTTAAATAATAACCTCTTGTGTTTTTAAAACAGACTAGGGCCATCCTGAACTCTCAAGTGCCTGGCTTTACTTCAAGCTGGAATCCAATTCGACACTGACATATCATTAATGATAATTTCCCCATTTGCTAAAAATACCTCCATCTTCATCAAGCCATTAAATAGCCTTTCAAAAAGCACACATGGAGTGCAAGACTAAGAAAATAGGTAAAAGTGTTGAGAAGTGAGGGTAAGGGCATTCTTGTATACTTGGGGATAATGAATTTTGCAATTAATTCCTATGCCCTTGAAAGGCCCTAGTAATGAGTAGCAATTTGACCAGCGGGATTTCTTCTAACTCAATGCATGCAAAGCCTCTGGACAAAGATACTATTGTGCCATTTAAGGTAGAACAATATTGGCTGTCTACAATCGTAACCAACCAATCACTTAAGTACACTACATATTTAGATACTCTCGGGCCTATTAAAAACAGGGCTGGAAGGTATGGTTGTTTGCTTAACAATGGCAAAGCAGAAGGTTTCCTAAAAATATTCACAGCTTTTGTCAAGCAAATATAAATGCGCCTAACATGTTGTTAAGCAAATAAAAGAGCAAACAAGATCCAAACTGTTTCCTGTTAGTATAGTTTAAATGTTAAATGTCTCTCAAAAGCTTGTATGTGGGAGGTCTGGTCCCTAAGCTTCAGGGGGTGAATGGATTCCCCAGGCTTCTGATCTCATTCATGAATGAATTCCCACATCTAGATTCATGGCTTGTTGGGTTTGGAGGGGCTCTATTAGAAAACTCCTCTGTTTCTCTGTGCTCCTTTGTTCTGCCCCACAGGGTGCTCGCTGCCCTAAGTCCTGCCCTATCACAGACTCACAGCCTTTGGCCAAATGATGCAATACTCAAAGGTTTTAATGAAAGTGTAAGCAAAAACAAGGCTTTCTGCCTTTAGGTTCTGTCTCTCTCTCTCTCTCTCTTTCTGATGT